ATAAACATATGACACAATATCGTACACCTATATAAAAACACGATACAAATGTAATACAGTAGAGTACACCTATAACACACCTAGAACACACTTATAATACACCTAATTGCAATAGAGTTGTGATACAGTACATAGTACACCCACCAGATACAGTCTCGTAGCAGCCCAAGCAGTCGGGGAGACCTGCGGCCTTGCCATGACAACCAGCACAGTAGGGCTGGCCCTCGTGGTTGAGGAAACCCTTGGACAGATCACCATGGCAACTGTGGAGGTGAGATGAGGCAATCCAAATTAAGATTGTTGATGAAATAGTGTTGTTGTGGTAGTTATAAAAGTAGGGGATATGTATTATATTGTTGTATTAGTGTAAGTTATAATCATATCTCGGATTATAAAAGTAATGCAAAAGAAATCTATAGCAATCTATAAATAAACCAACACCAGACACAAGCAATCTATAAATAGACTAGAAATACACCAGCCATTCTTCTCCCCCATACCCATTGCACGTGAAGCAGTCTCTGTGCCACTCCTTATCCAATGCTTTGACCACTCCACCCCTCACCAGCGCCTCATCGCACCTGCTACACACACGGCCATTTTCGCCACCACCAACACTCTGGGGACCAATACCCGCACTCCCCAGCGGGTTGCCTTTGGTAATAGGCTTATTTATAGACCCCCTCTTGCCGCCTTTAGGCTGGGTCTGGGTGGTGATAAGAGCACTCGTAGCGGGAGTGGGTGTTGTGACGGATGCCTTAGTCTTCATTTTGTTGACCTTGCGATCAGCGCGACGGCTTTGTCTGCAAATAGCGAGCAGGAAGTAACATCTGATATGTATATATATATATATATATGTATATATATATATTTATATATATTTATGTATATACACATACACATACTTATACATATACATATATATATATATGTGTGTGTTGCAGATGAGAGCGATAGTTACCACGATGTATACATATTGTAGATATACATGTTTTATATATCTACGTATACATGCAAACACACCTACTCGTATACAATACTGCCACACACTTAAACATACACATACATACAATGGTTTTGACTGAAAACAAACAAGTGCGCATGTGTCATATATATATATATATACATATATTGAAGTGTCTGATACGGATTCATATGTACCTGTGAATGTTAACAAAGGCATGGATACTGTCAGTGAGAGTATGAAGTCTATGAAGTGCGTGACAGTGACTGCATGATGGTCACATACACACACGTACACACAAAACACGTATGACTATACCCAGCCCACCAGCACATACAAGTACATACATACAAATGTACATGAGTTACTATATGTAAATATACATATATATATATATATATATATATATATATCGTACCAAATGACATGGTCGGCCCTGCCCTGATCACAGCCGTCACACGCAGCCTCCCCATCATCATCCAGCAACACACCACATGCGGCTACATGAACTATGTACACACATACACGCATAGGCTAACTATCTACACACATATCAGCATATATGATCTATGTACACACATATACACGCATACCAAGCAATACATTATGTAGGTACACACCTATACACGCATACCATACAAACAAACAAAGCAACACACAAGTAGGATGGGGCCCATACCTGCTCACGTGTTTGGTCTTGCCCTCGTCGCAGTCATCGCAATCCGTCTCCTCATCATCATCCAATAACACCCCACACTCGGTGCATGTGCATGCGGCGCAGATGGTACGCTCGCCCTTGTTCAGCACACTCTCGCAGCCATCACAGAGACACGCCCCGCAGGCCTACAGATGACATGGGGTGGAGGGATGGGGATGGTGTGGGGAAGAGTGAGATGCTTAGTTACAGACACTTGTATGTAGTAGTATAATAATGTTATAATATAATAATGCAATAACGTTATAATATAATAATATAATAATGTCATAATATGCTAACATAATAATGTTGATATAATAATATAATAATGTTATAATACAATAATGTAATAATGTTATAATATAACAATATAATAATGTTAATATAATAATATAATAATGCTATAATATAATATAATAACATAATACTGTTATAATATATATAGAGTATGAATGTATAGTCTTGACCGGTTGACAAGTGGTAGTTAGCCACCCACCACACACACTCCATACCTTGCTGCCGTCTGCCAGCACAGTGTGGGGCTCATCCGCTGTCTGGGGGCGATCACATACACCACATGCGCATGACACACACACGTTACGCGAGTGCCATTGCTTGGATGTCTTTGACTTGTCGGCGCCCAGAGGCACCTCACAGGCCATACACACGCAGTCGCTGCAGAAGGTGGTGTTGTCCTTGACCACCTGTGGGTAGGGACGGGGAGCGTATGGGTTAGAACGTGAAAGATATTCGGTAGTATATAAATTAAATTAGATTATATTGTATTTTATATATATACACATACATACATACATACATACATACA